TGTCTCTCTTTGTGAAAGAAAGAGAAATAGCGATTAGGCGCAGAGAGAGTGACAAATAAAAGAAAGGAGGAAAGAGAGTTTTATTTATTATAGCCTGGGTCGCTTGAGGGTAAAAATCAGGCCGGCTGGAGATCATTTTAGAGAGGTGTGGCAAAGGTGATTTAGTTTAGTCTTTGCAGGGTGAAAGCAGATTCATCTTCTAAGTTAATTTTTGTTTTTTCTTTGTAATCCACTTTAGATCACTCTGGGTAGTGTTGATGTTTGCTGTAGCACTTTAATCCCTCTCCTAGTGTTTACGTGACAGACTTTTGTCACTTAGAAATGCCACTCGGACACGCGATGCTGTTACCGTCGCTGTTGCAAACGACAACGCATAAAAACAGGCGCTTGTCCGTCATTAGTGTGGTTATTAAAATATAAGAGAAAGAGAGAACTTTAATAAATTAATATAGCCACTACAGTGACCAGCAAAACGAAAAAATATTGCCGTAAACAGTTTATTTTGCGACACCACGAAACAAACGATAGTAAAATGGAACCATAGACGTTTTTATATCGTCATCCGATATATATCGTTATATCGAACAGCCCTACCTTTCCTCAATTATTTCTTCTCTATTGACATCAAATAAGAGTCAATAAGCTGTTTGGAATTTGCACGAGAAGATTTGTCAAGTTTCTTATGGGCACAAGCCACATGCTCAACTCTGCTGCTCAACCCACAGATGCATTTTCCTTACAAATGCGGCACCATTTAAAGGTAACTAAACAGGCTTTTCAACAGTATAAGATTTATTACCATGAAACATTGTTACAACAAAGAAATAATCAATCAAACACTAATTTCCTTACTTTTTTGTGGAACGCATAGATGGGCTTTGATGTTAAGGATGCCCAGAAATTTTTTTTTGTTTGTTTTTGTGACATGGAAATGCTTTTTATATGACTGTAATACAGATTGTTAGTGAATGTACTGCAAGTCAAAGTATCAGGGTTATCGCCATCAAACTCTCAGACGCACAAGTCTCCTCTATGCTAAGTTTAATGTGTTTGCTTTGCTTGTAGACCATTGTTCGAGGGAACCGGCCACCCAAAGATGCATCCATTAACGGCC